CCTTATTCATTGCCCAGTTTTCACATGCATATGAGACAATTGGAAATACCATGACTTGGGTTAGGCGCATCTTTATCTTCAAAGTGACATCTTTGCTTCTTAGCACTTTAAAGAGGTCTTTTGCAGCAGATTTGCCCAGTGCAATATATTTGATTTCTTGACTGCTGCTTCCATGGGTGTTGATTGTGGATCCAAGTAAAATGAAATCCCTAACAACTTCAATCTCTTCTCCATTTATCATGATGTTGTTTATTGTTCCAGTTGTAAGGATTTTTGTTTTCTTTGTGTTGAAATGTAATCCATACTAAAGACTGTAGTCTTTGATCTTCAACAGTGAGTGCCTCAAGTCACCTTCACTTTCAGCAAGCAAAGTTGTATCATCTGCATATCACAGGTTGTTAATGAGAATTCCTCCAATTCCGATTCTACATTCTTCTTCATACAGTTCAGCTTCTTGGATTATTTGCTCAGCATACATACTGAATTAGTATGGTGAAAAGATGCAACCCTGATGCACACTCTTCTTGATTTTTAACCATGCAGTATCTACTTGTTCTGTTCGAATGGCACCCTCTTGGTCTATGTACAGGTTCCTCATGAGCACAGTTAAGTGTTCTGGAATTCCCTTTCTTCACAGTGTTATCCATAATTGGTTATGATCCACACAGTCAAATGTCTTTGCATATTCAATAAAACACAGGTACACATCTTTCTAGTATTCTTTGCTTTCAGCCAAGATCCACTTGACATCAGCAATGATATCCCTCTTTCTACATCCTCTTCTGGATCTGGCTTGAATTTCTGGACATTCTCTGTCAATATACTGCTGCAACTGTTTTTAAATTATCTTTAGCAAAATTTTACTTGTGTGTGATATTAATGATATTATTTAATAACTTCCACATTCTGTTGGATCACCTTACTTTAGAATGGGGACAAATATAGATCTCTTCCAGTCAGCGGGCCAGGTAGTGTTTTCCAAACATTTCGGCATAGACCAGTAATTGCTTCCAGTGATACATCCATTTGTTGAAACATCTCAATGGGTAGTCCATCAATTTCCAGAGCCTTGTTTTCACTTATTGCTTCAGTGAAGCCTAAACTTCTTCTTTCCATACCACTGGTTTTTGATTATATGCTACCTCCTGAAATAACTGAACATCAACCAGTTCTTTTTGGTACAGTGACTCTGCATATTCCTTCCATCTTCTTTTGATGCTTCCTGGATCATTTAATATTTTACCCATGGAAACCTTCAATATTGAAACTTGAGGCTTGATTTTTTTTCTTCAGTTCTTGCAGCTCAAGAATGCCAAGTGTGTTCTTCCCTTTTGGTTTTCTCACTCTAGGTCTTTGCACACTTCATTATAATACTTTACTTTGTCTTTTTGACCTACCCTTTGAAATCTTCTGCTCAGCTCTTTCATTTCATCATTTTTTCCATTTGCCTTCAAGAGCAAGTTTCAGAGTCTCTTCTGACGTCCATTTTGGTCTTTTCTTCCTTTCCTCTCTTTTTAATGACCTTTTGCTTTCTTCATGTACAATGGTCTTGATGTCACCCCACAACTCATCTGGTTTTCAGTTATTGGTGTTCAATGCATCAAATCTATTCTTCAGATGGTCTCTGAATTCAAGTGGGATATAATCAAGGTCATAATTTGGCTCTTGTGGACTTGTTTAATTTTCTTCAGCTTGAACTTGCATAGGAGCAATTGATAGTCTGTCTTTTCCACAGTCAGCTCCTGGCCTTGTTTGAATGATGATATTGAGCTTTCTCATCACTTCTTTCCACAGATATAGTTGATCTTATTCCTGTGTATTCCATCTGGTTAAGTCCACATGTATAGCTGTCATTTATGTTGTTGAAAAGGGTTTTTTGCGATGAGCAAATATTTGGTCTTGCAAAATTCTACCCTGCTATTTCAGCATCATTTCTATCACCAAGGCCACATTTTCCAGCTACTGATAATTCTTCTTTGTTTCCAACTTTCACTGTCCAATCATCAGTAATCGTCAATGCATTTTATTTCATGTTTGGTCAGTTTCAGACTGCAGAATTTGGTGAAAATTTTAAATTTATGTATCTTTTGCTTTAGTGTTTGGTGCATAAATTTGAATAATAGTAGTATTAACTGGTTTTCCTTACAGGTGTATGGATATTATCCTATCACTTACAACATCGTACTTCAGGATAGATCTCAAAACATTCTTTGTGACAATGAATGTGACACCATTCCTCTTTAATTTGCCATTCCCAGCATAGTTGACCATATGGTTGTCTGATTCAAAATTCCAATTTCAGTTCATTTCAGTTAACGAATGCCTAGGATATCGATCTTTAGATGTTCCATTTCATATTTGACAACTTCCAACTTTCCTAGATTCATACTTCATACATTCCATGTTCCAATATTTAATGGATGTTTGCAGCTATTCCTTCCATTTTGAGCCATGACCCCTCAGCAAATGGAGATCCTGAAAGCTTTACTCCATCCACATCATTAAGGTTGACTCTACATTGAGGAGGCAAGTCTTCTCTAGTCATATTTTGAATGCCTTTCAATTTGAGGGGCTCCTCTTTTGGCACTATATCAGACAATGTTTCAGGACTATTCATAAAGTTTTCCAGTCATATATTAGACACTGTTTCAGTGCTAATTATAAGGTTTCCACTGGCCAATTTTTTGAGAAGTGGAAGGCCACTTCTTTCTTCCCAGTCTGTCTTAGTCTGGAAGCTCTGCTGAAACCTGTCCACCATGGATGACTCTGCTGGAATTTGAAATACTGATGGCATAGCCTCCAACCTCACAGCAACACAAAAGCCACCACAGTACAACAAACTGACAGATATACAGAAATACCCACTGCCATCGAATAGATTTTGACTCATAGTGACCCCATTGGGTTTCCAAGGTAATAAATCTTTACAGAAGTAGATTACCCCATCTTCCTTCCATGGAGTGGCTGGTGGGTTTGAACTGCCAACCTTCTGGTTAGCATTCAAATGCCTTAAACACCGTACTACCAGAGCTTCTTATTCAGAAATAGGATTCTCTAATTATAATCAAATTTTAACTTAATCAGTCATTTTGTTTTTAATATGTGAAACAGTCATGACTGCCCTCAGATATTAGAAGATAAACCAGTTGTCTATGAGTTGATTCCAACTCATGGTGGCATCATGTAGAGATAGCTAGCATTAATTCCATCTTTGCCTCTTTGCCCCTGCTGCTTCTTCTTCCTAGGTTCAACAACAACTTGTAAGTACTTCTCAAATTACCATGCATAAGTATCTCACTTCTGTATATTCACTATTTTTTTATTCCACTTAAATAAATCAACTTTGTGTGTGCATCAATTAATCAAGTATTCATTAAACAATGTCCTCAGTTTTACTCAGCATTGTAAAAGCTATAGACCTGATGCAATAGACAACAGAAGCAAGTAAAATTTTTTGAAGTCCCCTGACCATGTGCTGGGTAGACATTAAGGGTAAGAGGGAGCAGGAAGAAAGAAAGCCAGTGGAACACTCACAGAGAAAGCAAAGTACAAAGTGATGAGGATCTGGACTGAAAGCGGTGGGAATGGAGCAGAATGAAGGACTTTATGAGATGTTTCAAAAGAATTATCAATAGTATTAGAAAATTAATTAAATCTACTGGATGAAGAGAAGGTGCTTCAATGCATACTGCTCATTTATAAGCATGAATGACTGATAAAAATGTTTGCACTATTGTCAGAGAGTGTAGGAGAAAGAACAGGTTTGAGACCAGAGGGGAGAAAATGATGACTTTGCTTGGGTTTGGGGTGAAAATAGAACATCAATGTATAAATCTTCCTCAGAGCTCTGATGGCCTGTGCCTAAGGCATCTGACTGCTAACCAGAAGGCTGGTGGTTCAAACCCACTGACCACTCCCCGGAAGGAAGGTTGGGCAATCTACTTTCATAGTGATATCGCCTCGGAAACCCAAGGAGGGGTCACTATGAGTCAGATCTGACTCGACAGCAATGGGTTTTTTTTAGAGATTTAGAGATATTAGACTAGAAGTTTTATATCTAGGATATACCTTTGGAATCATCAGCTTCTAGATAATGATTATAATTCAAAAGTTGATGATTAGGCTGATGGAGAGTCTGAAGCAACAAAAGAAGAGAAGAACTAGGACTAAACCTTGAGAAGTCACATAGATTAACATAGCTCATACCAGAAATCATGGAGGAAGATAAGAGAAGCACATCTTAATGCAAGTTACATTTGCGAGACAGTAGGAAGCGAACATACGTAATGTTCTGAAAATGTTGCTAGATGAATAGTAACAGTGTCTATAGGAAGCTCAGATTTAATTAAAAAATTATATTACGTTAGCCTCAATATCTAAAAATATACATTCATTAATCCTTTGAGTTTCTGAAGTCCACCTCATGTTGGAAAAAAGGAAAATGTACTCATTTGGCTGTCACAACTATATATTCATTTTAAAACCAAATATTTAGTTATCTCAAGTATTAGAAATAATTAGCACAGTATAAGATTATGAGTACTCATAATATATATTTTTAATAATATAGTCACTGAAATGTAAAGTGCATAAGACTCAAATCTAGATGAAAAGAAACCAGCCACCTGAATGTGTTTCTCTGCATAATGCTTATATTGTGACATACTCAGATAATTGATAACATTTATAATATTGTGTCAGATATTGAACTTTGTTGGTCATAAAGTTTTTATAATTATATTTCATGATGCACTTTTGATTGGGAGTACAAATTTTGAAAAATTCATAAAAAATGGAGAGTTTTGTGTTTCAGGTGCTTGTATAAGTTTAGAACTTTTTGTGGGACTATTGTACTGCTTTGGCATTTGAGAATTTTTTCTAAGTAGCTCTTTGATTATACATCTTAATTATCTGGGGGATGGGGAATAGTGATATGCAAATGTGCAACACTGTCATCAAAATGATCTACTTAAGTCTTGTTTGTTTATATGTATGTACAGCCACAATTCCTTCCGGAGACACCTACCAAGGCAGATGCAGGTTTCCAGTGTTGATTTCAGTATGGGCACAGAACCTGTTTTACAAAGAGGGGAAACTACAACCAGCATTGGAAGGATCAAACCAGAACTCTACAAACAGAAATCAGTTGATTCTGAGGGCAACAGAAAAGAAGATGTCAAAACCTGTGGGAAACTTAACTTTACCCTTCAGTATAACTATGAAAATGAACTTCTAGTTGTTAAAATTATCAAAGCCTTAGATCTTCCTGCTAAAGACTTCACAGGAACATCTGACCCTTATGTGAAGATATATCTTCTTCCAGATAGGAAAAAAAAGTTTCAGACCCGTGTGCACAGAAAGACGTTAAATCCTCTATTTGATGAAAGCTTTCAATTTCCTGTAGAATATGATCAACTAAGCAACCGAAAACTACATTTCAGTGTATATGACTTTGACAGATTTTCTAGACATGACATGATTGGGGAAGTGATTCTTGATAATTTGTTTGAAGTCTCTGATCTCTCCAGGGAAGCCACAGTATGGAAAGATATTCATTGTGCTACCACAGTAAGTAATAATTTCACCAACATATTGGTTTATATCTGATCTTCTTTAATATATAAAATTAATTCTTAACCAAATTACTGAAATAAATTCTACAGGGTTATGGAGTTTATATCTTAAAAACCTGCAAAGGCAGGATTTTGATAAATGCAAAATAAAATGGTATATCCAAAGTAATATTTTCCTGATAATCTCCACACATGTAGTTTTGTTTACTACACACATGCATGTATACTTGAGCACATACACACACACTTTTTGATATTGACTGTAAATTATTTGTGAATACTATTTAAGATGGATAACAGAATCCTGAAAAGAGGAGTTGATATTTCTTGAAGAGGAAATAGTGCAAGGGAAAGGAAATAAATCAAGCCAGTGTAAAATGTTTTCAGGGGAAAAAAATAGACTTTGAATGGGGAAAAGAGATGAAGGAGTGAAGAAGGGAGTGAAAGGAACCCAAACTAGAAATATCATATATAAACTACAATCAAGAGGTCCTTTAAAGCCATGGGGATTTATATTTATTTTGTTTTTATAAGAGAGTGAAATCACTGGAGCTAGTATCTCATATGGCATCATTTTCTGTCATAGGAGATGGGGGTTGTGAAATGTGGGAGGCCAGGTCAGTTTCTAACACAGCAGACTGTCTAGATGAGATGAAATAAAGCCTGACCAAGGTTGGTAGCAATGGGAGTGGAAAGGAGCTGATCCATATGAAAGGAAGCATTATCTGTCACACTTGCTTCAATATTCTATAAATATGTATCTCATGTCAGCCACTGAACTCTGAGCTTCTGGAAGGCAGAAATGATCTTGTATATTTCTTGCATTCCGTGACACATGTGAGTGCTTAGTGGTTAATCAATAAATACTCGTTGAATTAAAATGTTAGCAAATTTTTGTACAAGGTCAAATATGAGAATGTATCTAAGTACAAATCTACCACTAACAAAGGAAAAAACAAGGCAATTATGCACCTTGTTGACAATAAATCAATAAGTGTATTTGGCTATATTTTGTTAGCATTAGCTACTGCCTGTTGGTAAAACATTAAAAATTATTCAACAGTCTATGGGTAAACTTGTATTTTAAATAAATGAATTATTTTAAATTTATGTCAAAATTCTATCAGATTGAAACAAGTCATTGTTTTGTATTTATGATTTCATCACTGATGAGTTATTTGTGTAAAAGGAAGATTAACATTTTATCAGGAATGACCATTTTTTTTTCTGTTTTAAATTTGAGATTGAATGACAAAAGCATCTTTATCATGTGTAAAAATGAGTTTTCACTTTAGCATCATCTTCTCATCATCATAAATACGGCAAGCCAGTCATCTCTTGTACTAACATAGAAACATCTCCAAGGCAGGGAAAAATCACACTGAAAAACACTGTCACTGCTTGTAAAACCCAGAGGGAGAATGATATATTTATATTTGTTTCTATTTACAAAAAAGAAAAAGTCTATATAAGGGTGCACAAGAATTTAGTAATAGTTTTTACATAAAATGGTAGAAACTGGATATATATGGAAAAGAGTTTGCAATATATTGTTTTATGTAAATTTTACTTCTTAAACTATGTATGCATAATATTATTCAAGTGCTTAATTAACTTATTTTAAAAGTCAGTCATTATAAAGACTAATCTATTTTGAATATTTAAATGCTGTTTGCCAAATCTTAGTAAAGAAGCCATTGAAAGTGTAATTCTGCATTTTTAAAAAACAGAATCAAATTCATTTTTTACATTTATTTATTCATCTATTCAGTGAACATTTTTTCAGCACCAACTATGTTCTAGACATTTACGAAATTTCACAAGGAAGGTGTATATGTATTACCAAGCTGACCTGACTTACAGTTATAAAATAAATCTGAATCTATTATCTTCTAACTAAGCATCTGTCAAGTATCATTTGAAAAAGTAGGCCTTGACATGACAAAAACAAAGGAACAGTTGTGCTCATTGTATCAGCCATTTAGAGTACTAAATGTACAAGCTGAGTTTTGGTTTTAAGTAATTTATTTTATCACACATTATTGAAATCTTTCTTTAAACATTTTATTTTAAATTCATTTTCTTACTTCTAGTTATATATTTTTAAATCTACCCCAACCATCCTGAATCTATCCCAGGATCAGAATACTACTAGATTTTTTTACATTTAGCTACAAATGAATTCTCTCCTACAGTTTATTAACTATGAAGTAAAGTCTTAGCTACTATTTTAAAGAGTGGCAAAATTCCAACCTCAATATAAAGAAAAAGTTGCGTTGGACTGCATGACAGTAAGGAGCAGTGTTTTCGGGGTCAAAAATTGTCTGTTCCACTAAAATTCCCTGGATGCAGCTGGCAGTATTTTAGCTACAGGGACAGACTGGGACAGTGAACCCACACCAGCTCCTCTTGGTGCATTCTCTACTGTAAACTTGACTGTAGAGAGTCACTGATTACACATCTGCTAATGGGCCTTCAGTGGTGGTTCAGTGGTAGAATTCTCACCTTCTGTGCAGGAGACCAAGGAGCTGTGGTGGCACAGTGGTTAAAAGCATTCAGCTGCTAACCATAATGTTGCTTCATGGGAGAAAGATGAAGCAATCTGTTTCTGTATAGAGTTACAGCTTTGGAAACCCCATTGGGAACTTTTGCTCTATCCTGTAGGGTCACTGTGAGTCAGAATTGATTCTATAGCAGTGGGTTTGGTTTTTGGTTTTATGTGAGAGGATTACTGCACTTCAATCCATTTGCTCATGGATACTGGTAACCATTATTTGTTGTAAGGACTAATAAGATAAGTGCTTAGCACAAAGCCAGACATTCTGTAAATGCTCAATATTCATTAGGTGCCAAGAAGTATTAGAAGATTATGCAACAACGGGTCTCTCCTCGTCAAGAAGAAAGAAGAAAACCAAAATTAATGGAAACAATCAGTCCTAGCGACTGGTACACCATCTGATCTGCAACCTATACAACTATGAGACCAGAAGAACTAGATGATGCCCAGCTACCACTGCCATCCACTTGGAAGGGATGTAGGAGATCCTGCATAAAGAGGGAGAACAATTTGGAACAAAACTCAAAATCATTTGGAGGCAAAAAAAAAAAAAGAAGGTGGGGACCAGGTTTGCTGGTCCAATAGAGCCTGGTGTAACCACTGAGACTATGGCCCCTAGCTGCCCTTCAGGTCTGGAATTGAACCCACAACTGTGGTTTCCAGCCAAACAAAGTACAGGCATGTGAGTTAAACATTTACCTCAAGTAGACACACGCCCTGGAGAGAATAATCATAGGAGAAGGAAGGGCTGCTTATGCACAGGGAGATAGCTCAGGGTGCAGAAGAGTATGAAGTGATGGACACTGGGAGGAGGTAACTATGGGGAGGAAGTGGGAGGGGAGCTGCTGCATTGTAAATTTTGGTCAATGACATGAGACAAAGTATATGTGAACTGCTGTATGAAAAGTGAATTTACTCTGTAAATCTTCACCCAAATCCTAATTAAAAAAAAAAAGAAGTATTAGAAGAATGATATGATCAGGATATTTCATGGTAGACTTTCAGTTGTTGTTAATATAACTTATATATTAAATAGCAATAACGACCTTGGTTCCAAAAATGACTATGTCCTGTTACTATGGTAGGGAATAGTTGTAGGTAGTATGATTTTCTATTCAGGGAAGAAAGAATTCAATCAGTGATAATTTAAATCTTTTTAGTTATTGTATGCTATGATTTACTAAATAGGTACTGTTTCTCTTTATGATGCATTTATCATAATGTCATCTAACATATCCCTTATCTCCCACCTGGACAACTGAATTGATCTCCTAATTGTTTCCCTCACAATCATTAAGGATTCTGGCAGCTGACTCAGTTTCTCTTTACTCCCACTCCTTTCTGAATATTTAACAATTTCAGTATCCACACCTTCTGTTTCTTTTTTTGAGTCCCACTGTAACTACTCTTCATGATCTGGCAAATTTCAAACCTTCCTATTTTTCACCACTCTCCTGTGTAATTTCTCTGTATCAGTTTTACTCTATTCAAAGCAACAGGTTTTGCCTATCTCCTGGCCTTCTTACTTGCTGGTATTCTTGGCTGAAATGCCCTTCCACCCTATTCCTGCCTGGTGAAATCTTACAATTTTAGATTCAATTCTGACATCACTTTTGCAGAGAAGCCTGACTCAACTCACTTCCGTTTGCACTGGGCACTTTCTTCTCTTGCTCCCTCACTAACATGTACATTCACTTACTCAGAAATGAAAGGCACTAGATATCTCTGTCTGTGCCTCTTGATTCACTCTCTACTATTATTAATCCTATTTGGTGATGCAGGAGGCTGGCCTGTGTGCTCCATAGGGTCTCTGAATGTAATTTAACATTCTCTAAATAATGGTGATCTTTATGACCATTGATTATTATAACAAATTAAATGAGCAGATTTTTATTTCTATTAATTGCTCATCTATTTATTTATTCTATTTCATCTCTATTATAAGTTTACTGTTTCCCGCATTTCTTACTTCTCCAATTGGTTGTTTTTAGGTTGCATAATCAAGTACCTAAGTTAGTTATGTTGTTGTTTTTGTTGTTATGTGCCGTTGAGTGGGACCCGACTCATAGCGACCTCTCCTTGGGTTTCTGAGGCAGTATCACTACGGAAGTAGATTGCCCCATCTTCCTTCCGAGGAATTACTGGTGGGTTTGAACCACCAGCCCTCTGGTTAGCAGTCCAGTGCCTTGGGCACTATGCTACCAGAGCTCCCAAGTTAGTTATAGTTGTATATAAATACTATCAGTAAGTCTTAAATAAGCACCTGGCATCTTTTTCTCACAGTGAAGTGTGTGAACATTTTAATAGATTGAAATATTTTCATTTTAACTTGAAAGTTCACAAGCGTGCTCCAGGTATGATTGTGAGAAGTCTCATGTTCAGATCATATGATCATATTATTTTAGAATTGATAGAGACTCCATGTTCAATTCTTTCAT